GGAGGATAGGTTTAATCCACAATTTCCAGATGGGATGAGACCACACTCAGAAATCGCCGATGGGTTAGTGAAAGCAGAGGGGGGAAATAGAAGGAATCGAACAACTTGTGGAATTTTTGATCTGTCTATATACATATGCATGCATGTATGTATGTTTGTATTTATTTATTTTACGCACTTTTACACTTCACTCTTGCTCTTTGCACTGCTTTTGTTAATTCTGCACAAAATTCTCTGCGTCCGACCTGCGCGATGCTCTGCAACAAATTAAATTCGACAATTAAACAAATATTATTCGCAATTCGCTTTGGCGTCGGCAATGGAACTCTCCACAGCGCAGTCTCTCCACTCTCGCGGGCCCTCTCCAAGCGGGGGGCAGGGCTGCACTGCCGATCGCCGACGCTTTGCGCGCGCTTTTACCCGCTTTTCAAATTCAAACTTAAGACTAACAATATTTAAGTATGATAATATTTATATTCTTTTAATTACAATTATTATATTATATTATTATTATTATTATTTGCATCATTTATTTATATGCCTTGAACTGTATAAGAGTAAATTTAATTATATATGTATATGTAATGTATGTTAATGTATATGTACATATGTATATGTATTACATCATAAGTTATACATGCTTACATGCATTTATACACAATAGGCCATGCATACATACATACATACATATATGCAGTCATACATCATACATTAAACTGAAATTCTAACATAAATGCATACATTCAGACATACATACATACATACACATGTACAAATGTACATACATGCATGCTTACATATATATATATATCACATAATCATTCATCAGTTGGTCATCAATTCATCAACCCGTCAATAGTTCAGTCTGCGATTCTTCTCAGATTTGCTTTCCGTAATGGAAATGAAGAGTGCGACCATATATAGCTATCTCTTTTCAGTTAATAAACAACAGAAATTGAATGCAGTTTTTAAATTTATTTGCAAGTTTTTTTTTTTCATATATTATATTAATTATACTAATGTTTATTCTCATTATCATTGTGCACATTTTCAGCAGCATATTTCACGTCGATTTGTATAATAAATATATTTATCATTTTCATACAAATATATATGTATATAATTAGCATATATTAATTATATAAAATGTTGTTTTTGTTTTTTTTTTGTTGTTTTTGATTTCACTTAGCGCCTAAACAGATTACAAATTAAATTAGAATGTTGCAAACAAAAGAAAGTGCGAAAATGGAATTGAAAACGCCCAACAGAGAAGAGCAACAACAACAACAACAACAACAATAGCAAAAGGGCAACAACAACGATGCAAAAAGAAATAATAAAAATTACAAAAATAATATATATGCATCAAAATATGATTAATAAAGTGGTTAAAAATACAGAGATATATATAAACTATATATATATATATATATATATATATATATATATGTGTGTGTGTGTGTTTATATATATAAGAATAGATAAATGATAATACAATAGTTGATAATAGTTGAGGGATAGATAGATAAGCTCTATCGATCTGAACTGAAATGCATAAAAGCATAGGGAACGTCATCATCGTCATCATGGTCATCATCATCATCGTCATCATTATCATCGTCATCATCATCGGGCTCTTTGGAATCAGAGAATTGCTTTCGAAGTTTTAAGGTTCCGTCTGGTTGGTTATGCTTAGGGTAATATTATTATTATTATCATTATTATTATTATTATTATTATTATTAGCATTATTATTATTATTATTATTCCGTCTGCTGGTTTGTTTATGGGCGTATTCATAAGTGGGCGCTGCTGCAAGCGTGTCGTTGTTCATCATTATAATTATTAGCATCATCATCATCATTAGCCAGTGGATCACTTAGTGTTAATTGCACCAGACACAGCCACCAGCTCCGGCACGGACGACGATCCGGCGCTGCTCTGGCTGACAGTGCGCGCGTGGTCCACGTGGTTGCCGATCGCCGCTGCGGCCGCTGCCGCTGAGGCCGCTGCCGAGATGGGCAGAGCTGTGGCGGCGACTGGCGTTGCCACGCCTACGCCCGCTGGTGCAGCAGTCGGCGATGGGGACATTTCGTTCGCATCCGTTGTCACCGGCTCCACGGTGGGAAAAACGGGCGGCACGGCCGTGGACACCACAGGCGTCTGTATCATGGGCGTGGGCGGCGACCGGTTGGCGGGCAGCTGATGCGCCGCCTCGCCCGACATTTGCATGTGATATCTGTGGAGGGAGTGCGTGTGTTAGTGGCATTGGCATTCGGATGAAACGTGATCGTGGCTCACTTGTAAATGTTCTCGGTGCTCTCGACGACGCCCTGGGTCAGGTTGAGGCTGCGGCCCTTGATGCCCGACTCCTTGGCCGGCGGCGACCACCAGTTGAAGACGCGACCCACGACCGGCACATGCCGCAGAATGCCCTCCTGCCAGAGCTTCTCCTCGGACTCGCGCTGCAGATCCGCCGTGGCCGCCTCGATGCCCTGCATTCAAATCGAATCAGTTGAAATGGCCAGTGGCCAATGGCGATGGCAGTCTTACCTTCTTGACGATCTCCGACATGGTGTCCAGGACGCGCGAGTTCTCCTGGACGCTCTTGCCGACGGTGACGACCAGGTCGAGCAGCTCCTCCACCTCCGTCTCGTGCGTGACCATGCCGAAGCGCACGCAGATGAGGCCGTCGGTGCCCTCGCCCAGCGAGAAGGCGTTGTCCGTCGACTTGAGCGCCTCCACCAGGTCGATGTTCAGCTTGTTGAGCTCCGTTTTGGCCTGGTCCGTCAGCAGCGACTCCCAGCCCTCGGGCACGAACCGGACGCCGCCCATGCCCGCCCACTCGGGCAGCGGCACCAGCCGGAGCACCTCGCTGCGCTCCACCAAGTGCATGAAGCGCGCCTTGTGCTTGATCGTGGCCCGCAGTATGTCCACGTGCGCCTCCAGGCTCTGGGCGAAGCTCTCCAGGTTCTCCGAGCTGGGCGGCTGCTCGCCCAGGCCCAGCTCCAGCGGGCAATAGCGTATGCAGCTGCCGTGCGTCGGATGCTCAATCACCTCGAAGTCAAACTGCGGAAACGAGATTCGGGTCAGGGATTCATGTCGCTGCGGACGCAGTTACTCACATTGGGACAGTCGCGCTGCAGTATCTGGCCCAGCCAGGAGTTCAGCCGATCGAAGTACGAGGCGTTGTTCACCTTCTCCAGCGGCTTCTGGCCCGCCTCAGCCGCCGCCGCTGCTGCCGGCTCGGCGCTCGGCGTGATTGGAATGGTTGTGCTGCCGTCGAACTGGTAGACCACCACCGGAGCAGCTGCGTCGAACAGGGCGTTCACGTCGAACGCGCTGTGAATGATGTCCGACAGGGCGGCGCCCGTCTGAGCACCGGGCGTGTGACTCTACGGAAAACAGATTCACAATGGAAGATTAGGGGCAACGGAACAAAATGGAAGACGAGGTTAAGTTACTCGGATGCCTTAACACTAGAATGGCTTGCTAACAGCAGGGAGAGCTACATGGCACCATCTTCCTTTCAGAGTTTGGAGGGGGCAATGGGAATACCTTCTTTTAGTTCTGATTAAAATCGTATTACCCTAGATTGGATTGGCTTGATAAGAACTTGGAGTGGGAAATGGACTTGGCTACCTTCGGTTGTCATTGAAGTTCTATCAATATTATCATATCATATATATCATGCGAACTAAATATCGAATTGCCTAGCTTCGATTGTTGCGATAAAAGTTTGGTATAGATAACTTCCATCATATGTACTAAGAAGTCTTTAAGAATATCCCACTACTGATGTACGATATAATCGTATAGATATGAAGAGATCAGACAAGACAAACAATAAATCTTTAAGAATGAATAATTGGGATAACAAATTGATAGATAGCAAAATAGTAAACCTAGAAAGACACTAAAAACTATGCCAAGTCTCGGATTATCTTAGATTGTGTTGCTTCGATAAGGGTTTACAATGGGAAAATGGGATAAATTCCTTGAAATGTAATTGGGATCCCATTAATATATTACTAATAGGGGCTAGGGATCTTTAAATCCTCATCTATGCTGAGTCTGCCCCCATTTAAATATGGAAAATGGGGGTGATTCCTAATATGCCATCGAAATCCTATTAATATCTTAGGCCATCATATCAAACAGATAACACAGTTCATATCTGGATACATGAAGTCAATCTATGCTGTCTCTTCCTTCTGGATCCAAGTAGGACAAGGGCTTAGAATGACTAATATCCCATAATGGAATCAATAGCATATTCCGTATAGATATAACAAGACTAGATAATACTCTATATAGGAACATGAAGTAAATCTATGCCAACTTCTAAGTAAGTAAGATGAGGTTAACGTCGTATAGAAATATGTGTGGTACGACTGCTCTATTATATAACTCCTTAAATGCTTCACAATTAGAATGGGAATAGCTTCCTATTCAAAATAAAATAGATTCATCGTAGTGCCAATTAGAGGCCTGCATGGGTATACTTGGTACTACGAATACTATACTAATATATGACTAATATACATGACTAATATATCTATAGACAAAGTAAATCTATGCCAACTCTCTTGGGTCTCAGTCAATTTCTAAAAATAATATGTGGATAATGGATAATATAGATAGAGAGTAGTACGACTAGTTTATCAGATTGGTTAGGGAAGAAAATTGGAAAAATTAGAACAAATTGTCTAAGCTTGACAATGGAAAGATTAGATAGAGTATTCACTCAATTTCTACGAGTTTCACGTGAATAACTTCCTATATATAACACAAAATACCTAATTGAAGTTCTATCGATATGGTACGACTTTTGACAATATAGAGAAGGAACTAAATCTCTATAGATCTATACAGTCAATTGATAAGATAATGGGACTAATATCCTATAGACATAGATATTTACTATAGGCTGTTCCATTAAACTATCTTTCTTAAAATATCAATCTCTATGGATGCTTATATTCCATTTGGGTTAGGGTCTTATGGGTCTAGGGTTTGGCTACTACGTTACCAGCACTCGGATGCCCTCGCACTTGGAGGCTATCTCGAAGAGAATACTGCATGTCTGGAATGCGACGTGGAGCCGCTCGGCGATGGCCTTGCGGCCGAGCGCCTGCAGGCTGGTCCACAGAGAGAGGGCGTTGAGGCGCCGGGAGAGGATCGGGTCCGATTCGAAGGCACTCAGCGCGCTGTTCTGGAGCGGCCGATGGAGCAGCACAATGGGCAGACTGGGCACGCCCAGCCAGCTGCCCAGGTTGAGGGCCATCGAGTGGAGCACGTCGTGCACGCTGCCGGGACTCTGGGCGCAGACGAGCGCGGCCAGGCCGTGCCCGCTGGCATGGAGCCACATGTTGTGGGCCTTGCAGACGTCGCGCAGGCGCTGCAGGTTGTCCACGTAGCCGCAGAGCGAGGCGCCGATGTCGGCGACCACCAGGAGCGGGGTGCGGCTGGCGGCCAGGTCCAGCTGCACCTGCTTCTGGAGCTGGGCCAGATCCATGGTGCCGTACTTGCTGTCCTCCGGTATGATCTTGATGGCGTCCAGCGAGATGCCCAGCTGCCGGCAGGCGTACTGCAGCCGCACCGGCGTCGTGTTCTCCGAGATGTAGAAGCACGGCTGGGCCAGGGCCGGAATGCCGCCCTCCAGGTAGCCCGGACAGCGGGCGACTATGGCCAGGCGCACGGTGCGCAGGACGGCGTCGGCGTTGTCCGCATGGAAGCTGCTCGCGGCGTTGCTGAAGTGGAACAGGGTGCCCAGCCAGCGGGTGGCGTCGCCGGAGATGCTGTTCGTGACGCGCAGCAGATGCTGGCGGTCCAGGTGCGACAGGTAGGCCACAATGCTGTGCGAGATGAGCGCCAAGTGGGAGACGTCGTCGAGGGCGGGCAGCGGAAACTCCGGATCGTCCTCGCTGTCCGAGTAGGCGACCAGCTGCTCCAGCGACTTCAGTATGTCCGCCGGCACACGGTGCTCCTGGCGCAGCTGCGTGGCCAGCACCAGCTCGGCGGCGGATGTGCGTGGTGCACGCTCCTGCTCCGACTGCTCCTGCAGCGACTGGCTGTCGCCGGAGCTCTGGTTGTCGCCGGACGCATCGCTGATCACCTTCGCCGGCGAGCCGGGCACAGCCTTCACGTTCTCCAGCCGCTGCAGCATCTGAGAGGAGCGCAGCTCCAACTCAGCCAGGCCGGAGCGTATCTAAAATGAAACATCACAATTAACCACAACAACAACAACAACAGCAATGAGAGTGTGTGTGTGAGAGAGAGAGCCGCAGCAGCAACAAAAACAGTTGCCGCAACTGTAAACACTATCAAAACAATAAGACGTTGACGTTGACGTGTCTTCGTCGTCGTCATCAAATGCCAACAACTTACGCTGGATGCGGCAATTTCAGCCACTGCTGGTGTTGCCGCCGCCGCCGCTGCTGCTGCTGCTGCTGCCGTTGTTGTTGTTGTAGTTGGTATCGTTGCCGCTATCGTCGCTGACGTTGACGTTGTTATTGCTTTTGTGCCCATTGATGACGGTGTCGAAGGAGACGGCGGCTGCGGCTGCGGCTGCGGCCGTGCCTGTTGGGCAGCGGCAGCGTTTGGCTCGGCATCAACTCCAGCCGCTGACATAATTCTATAGGTTAGCTTGGCAAACTTTTCGTGGCTGCGCTTTTCGATTCGTTCTGCCTGTTTTTCTGTTATTCTAGCTGATGTGGAGTTCTACTATGGAATTAGCCCAACTACAAATTTGAGGATTTCGAATGGTTGGCATGTGTGGTCACACTGCATACGCAGCCACATAATCGATGCATGCTATCGATATGCGACACACATAATATCGTTTAACGATTGGCGCACTTGCAGCAAGTTGGCAGCGCTGCAGCCGTTACAGGGCGCCAATAATTTAAATGTGTCTACTTACATAAGTTTACTTGACTTTCATTGTTCTATTTATTTTTATTATTGTTTCTTTTATTTGACTTTCTCAGCACTGACCCAAATATCAGTTGCTGTCACTAATGCATATTTGCAGCTTTTGCATTTGTTTTGCGACATGTGTTTCGACGGCACTAAATAAAATGCAACTTTTGCAAAAGTCGAGCAACATTTGTATGCGACTGGATTATGCGAACATGGGGAACATGGAACATGGAGAGTTTCGACCATGTTGCCAGGCAATATGTGCATCAACACACACATACATACATACACACACATGTGTGTCGGCGTCTGTGTGCGCTTGTAGCTTTGCACTTTATTCATGCATAAACTTGCTGAGAAAGTTTCGCGTTCGCTGAGCTGAGCTGAGCTGGTTCGCCAGCTAAAAGTTGCCGGAGCATTGGGATTTGCGAGTCCGCCTGCCCACAACACATGCAAATAACATATCGATGCTGCTTTTTCAAATAGATGTATGTATGTATTTATGTAGGTATGCATGTGTGTATATGTACATACATATGTATGTACCCCCCGCGGGCCCACCCATCGATCGAACCCACCATACCCAATTGGCTGCACTTGGTTACCCTTGTGGCTTTGGCGTCTGTTGTGCCGGGGATTTGCGACGGTGCCGCCGGAATGTGCCGCTGCACATGCATCAATTTGGCCAGGCAGCCGCAAGAGTCTGCCCGCACCATACCTCCCACCCACCATAAACTTTATTAAAAATAAAAAACCTCATAGAACCTTTCAATCAATGCCCCCGACCCTAGTTCTCTCTCTCTCACTCTTTCTCTCTCACACAGTCACCTTAGTGAATGGCATTCGAGCCTGTGTGTGTATGTGTATGTGTGTGCGTGGGTGTGCTGTTAAAGAAGTTAGTTGAATCATTAGCATCCAATGCGGGCAAGGGACGTGGCCACAGATCTGAGACAGCTCCGCACACACACACACACACACGCAAATGAATATGTAAACAGGCAATCTAATATATGTATGTATGTACATGCACACATACAAATACATGCATGTACATACAGTTGGCGAATCCTGGTTCAATTAGCTGAATCAATACATTTTTCACTAATTCATTTTGTAAGCAGTGAATGAACGAGACGATTTAGTTCATGATCAAGAGCTGAACAAATGAACAATTATGAACGAGTGAACGAAATGCAGCGTTCATGAACGATTTAATGACTAAGCAGCAATTGCAGTACTCACATACATACATACATATATACATAAATCGTTCACTGATCACTGAACTAGTTGATTGGCTCACTTCGGTTTAAAACAAGAGTGCGTTACGCACTTTTTGCCGTGTGCTGTCGACTGTGTGGGCTGATTATATAAATTACGTATACGCCGCCTTTGTATGTATGTATGTATGTATGTACTTACAGAGCGAAAGTAGTGGAAGAAGTACGCACAGATGTGTGTATTTAGCTCTACCTCAAACATCTATGCCAAGGTGCAAAAAAAGGCTCAAGGCCGCAAACAGCAGCATTTTAATTTCCACACAGTGCGACAGAGACAGAGAGAGAGGGAGAGAATGTGTGTGTGTGTGCGTGTGTGGGCGCGTGTGTGAATGGCAGAGGTGCAAAGTAGTTGGCACTTAAGAGGCTGAAAAAAAAACTTCAAACAAACAAGCGGCAGGGAACAGGCTGCGTCAGGATTTTGAAGAGCTCAGCCCGTGAAATGTGCAAGAGAGGACGAACGGGGTGGAGCGTTGCTGCAGACAGACACTGAAAAAAAAAGAAGAAAAACAGTTAAAGTGCTCGTGTTGTGGGACAGGGGAGAAAGAGAGACAGAGAGCGATGGAGAGAGGGAATGGGGCAGGTTTGGTATTGGAGTGATTCCGTTCGACAGCGCAGTTCAGTTCAGCTCTGTACGCCGCAGCTTGGCTCACTGGCAAATTGATGCGTTGCATATGAATATGAGAGGTTAAATGAGCAGAGCCACGCCCACCTGTCGCTGGGTGACACAGTTGTTCTAGAGCTGCTCTTGAGCTGCTATTTTTTGTGGCAGCTCGATAGCAAGCGTTGGCTCAGTCTGGCATTTAATTGGCACTAAGAGTCAGGCAACTTGATGACATGGGCAGCTGGAGTAAAGCGAAAAATAAAAAACCAAAAAAAAAAATTAATAAAATGGAGGGGGGCGAGGTACTGCGAGTGGCCAGCAGCATTCAGTGTTGCGCACCATGTGAATACATCAGCAGGAAAAAACAAACCATTTGTCAGGCGGACAAGCGCACACACGATCACACACACACACACACACACACACACACACATGCAATCATAGCGGACAGGCACACATTGTGAAATTGACAAAATATACAAGCGAGCGAAAGAGAGAGGAAGAGAATGTGCGGCACAGAAAGTCAAGATATACAATCACACATGCACATTCATATAAAATACCAAATATGTACATACATATGTATGTATATTTGTCCACACAGTTAGGCAGGCATCAATAACAGACAAACAACAACAACAAAAAGTCAAAAGAAATGCGTCGCCGTAGCCAAAAGTCCGAAGGCAACAGCAAAAGGCAATGCAAAAACTACACAAATAAGCAAAAAGTGCAGGCGGCAAAAGAAATATACACATACATTCATAGACTCAAACATACATACAAAAGTACATACATATCTCACATGCACTATGGGTAAACAAGTAGTGTAATACAACAGAAAAGATATTTAGATGTGAATTTTTTTTTTTTTATATTAAATTTTTTGTATCAATATGAAGATATTAGTAATATAAGTTAAAAGTAATTTCTAATATCATCGGCTAATCTTATGCATGTATGCAGCTCAGCGCTCGACTTTTTATCTAAAATGTTTTTGCATTGCCCACAGTGCCAAGCATGCATAAGTATAAGAGCGCGCCTGCTGGTAAGGCAACACAAAATTTCAACACACATACACACAGTCAAGTGCACAGCTGAAAAATGTGTGTTTGTGTGCCATGTTTGTAAGCATGCAATACACCTACACACACACACACATACACATACACATAGACACACAAATATTTAGCCAACCAAAGCCACAACCAAACACTGTTCACGGCACCGAAAATTTCAATGAGCTACGCGCTCAAATAACTATGCAAAGAAGTTAAGCTGGAGAAGCAGCTGCAACAACAACAATAACAACAACAACAATAACAGCAGAGTGAGTGATGCTGAGCAAACAACTTGCCCAAAAGTCTTTGTTCCTAATGCAATTGAACGTAAAATTTCAAATGCTTGTAACAAAGTGAGAACGAGTAGGAGTGAGAGCAGAGCTAAGAGATGAGAGGAACCAATGGCGAGTAAGAGAGAGACAAAAAGATAGTCAGATGAAGAGAGGAGAGAGAGAGTGGGGCAGTAGCAACAACATGACAACAAATACTATCACAGACATAAATAAAACAAGTGAAGAAAATTGATTTCAGCAGAGCCGCATATTAAATACCCTTTCAATACATTGCATATTTGAATTAATGTCTTTATTCGGCTCAATTTTTAAAGAAATTTATATGCATTGGAAATAGATAACAAACTAAAATATGAAACTATTATAAAAATGTTAATATATGTATAACACATGAAAAACATACATACATATGTATACATATATTTAGAAGTATTTGCAGGAGGCTGCACGATAATCTTTGGATGGATTTTCCTTACTAACGGTATTGCAATAAAGGCGGCCTCATAAGTTGCCAGTCATGTGTGGGCGTTGGGCGTGGCATGTGCATGTATTAGCGTGCTGCAAACGGACCAAAAAAGGGGAATATTATGCATGCTCAATGTCCCCGTATATTTGTGTTTGTTTGTGCGCGAGTGTGTGTGTCGGTTGCCTTTTGGCTTACCAATGCAAATACACATTTCTTTATTGCATACTTTACACAACATTCGCAAGTCCGCAGATCTGCCAATTCGCCGCAGCCGCAAGCGAATTCGCTGCACGAGCGTTTTTCGAGATGTTTTTTAATTGTTCTCTAATGCAAATATAAATTAATTCATTATTCATTCGGTGCGCAGGATGTGTGTGTGTGTGTGTGTGTGTGTGTCTGTCTGTGTTTTGTATCTGTATTTGTGCTTTCGTCTGTGTCTGACTGTGGTTCCTGATTTCATGCTCTTGAATAATTTCCCAGCAGAGCGCATTATAATGCATCGAAGGCGACTTTTCCGCTGTGAGTTTGTCTTGGGACTCGACTCGACAAGTGGATGCCATTCAAATGTAGTCAAGTGCGTGCATACACATGTACATACATACATACATATATCTTTATAGAGGTTGCTGCGAGTTTGGTGTATGGTATATAAAGTGAGCCATACTTGATCACTTTAAGTACATAGGCATTACATTAGATATAGATATGTACATATATGCACATACATGTGTATGTATGTATTTATTTACATATGAATCGAAAATCATGTGTACCATCGGAAAAGTTGGGCCTATCCATAAGACTACCTAATAAGATATCCTTAATAATTTCATGCTAGATTTCCCAAATATTTTCAAATCTATATATTCTCAGAAAATAGATTATGACAAATTTTGTAACCGTCTCTTCTTTCCTTCCATATTGAATTTAAATATAGTATGTATGTACTTAACATGGATCTTTTCATTACGGATTTAATTAACTGAAACTCAAACAGCTTAGATGTACTTAATTAGTTTTATTAAGATCGTATAGCTTTGTAGATCCTGAATTTCAAAGCAGCTAAATAACATTCTTGGAGACTGTACGAAAATATATGAATAATACATATATGTATTATACATATACACA